CATACCTGTTCTGCCAGTGAAGCATTAGCAGCAGAATTGTGCTTTTGGCTTCTGTGAACTTTAAAGCTTGGGTCATGGAGGGGTAAGCAAGCAGAACAAAGACTTGGTTGCTATCCACTGGGAGAGAGTGCACTGTGGGCTGTTCTGCAAGTCACTATTGAGCAGTACATACCCTTTGGGGATCGTGCTGTGCTTTTGGCATAGTAACATGGAGCCATCAGCCTCAGTCCAGGTGTTTTCTATAACAGTATTGTAATAGCAGCTGTTTGTCTATTCTATAGTCATCTCTTGTTTTTGTTGTTGTTGCAAGTTCAACAGCAGACATGGTTGTAGATGCTGAAAGCTGGAGGAAAAGGGTGAGCCTGGGGATTGGAAGTGGGAGGAAGGAGGTTCTTTCTGTCTGGGGGATGCTGGGCATGCTGCAAACCCTATTCCAGAATATGGGACTTGTACATGGGACCCCACCAGTTAATCAGTCTGCAAAACGTGATTATACCTTGAATGTGTGCAGGGGCTTTGCCTGGAGGTTCGAGGCCTTATTCTGGAGCAGGGAGGCAGCGTGTGGCACAGAGGCTCCTAAGGAATGTCTTCATATGGACAAAACTGCAGTGCTGGCTGAAAAACCACTGGTGGATTTCTTCTGGAGGTGTTCAGGAGGAGCACAGGGCAGGCATCCGTTAATTCCTTCTTCTGAGGTGGAATCCTGACAGGAATAAGCCCAGTGGTTTTCTTCTGCTGCTTCATTGTCTGCGATATAGCACAGCTCAGTGAGAAGTCAGAGCACAGAAAAGCAGTAAGTTGTGTAGTGAGGGGCCAAAATGACACCCTGGTGTTTGGGAATGACTGCTGGCAACCAGGAGGCATAGGTGTCATTTGACTGTGAAGGGCTGGAGTGAGGTTGCCAAAATGAGAATATAGATTTTGCCTGAAAGGCAAGTCTCTTGGCTCTGCCCTTTCTTCTTCTCTGTTTGTGCAAAACTCTTAAAGAGGAAAAAAAAAACCAGAACACCTTCCAATTTCCACTTTGAGCATTTTTAATAAAAAGAATCACAAAAACAAAGGGGACAGGCTTGGGTGTGATTTGTGAATACCAAGCTGTCCTCTTGCTGTCTCTTCTGTGGTGGCCTTGTGGCTGCCATGCTGTGTGGGCAGGCAGGAGACCCATCTCCATGTTCAGACTTGACACGGGATATCCTGACCCACCTCTGCCCTTTCCAGGAGCTGGTCCTGTCCTGGTCCTGTCCTGGTTCTGGGGCTTCTGAGCCCTTTATGATGTGCCTTCTGTTACAGGTACCCTGAGCCAGAGTGTGGTGATGGATGCTCAGCATGGGAATGAGAGCTGGCTCACAGCACTGGCACATAACATGGAGACTGTGTTTCAAAAAGCCTTGATAATTCCAGCAGATAGAACTGGGAGGTTGTTGTCCAGAGTGCTTTTTTACTGGGAAGGGAAAAGGTAGGACTTCATTGTAGATGGCGGATATCTGAAGCTCTTCATTGATTGCACTTTTCAGAATTTATAAATAGTGGCATGTGCATTTTGGTGTTCACTAATTGCAGGAAAAAAAATGTTTCTGGACGTAGTGAAACATGATGGGGTATGTTAGAGACTCTTCCCCTACATCTTCCTGACTTTCTAAAACTTGTGAAGGTTAAATGTCATCCAAATGATGCTCTCTTCCTTTCGGTCCTCTAGGGCATAAAGTGAATTAATGTGTAAGATTCTTCCTTCTGTGCATTTGCAAAACCTGCTGTCAAAGAAGCTCCAATTTCTTTGCAGAATAAGATACTAAAAACGTCAGGAAATTCTTGAGGCAATGACAGCAGCTTTCTCCCTTTCCCCTGTTTAATGACTCTTTTTACCCTTCAGTATGTCGTGAGCATCCTTGACTTGTGTGAGACTGGAGCTCAATGTGACAATACACCTGGCAGCTTTCATATTTGAAGGAAATCATCATTCGTATTTTCTTGTTGTTGTTTAACTATTTCCACACTAATGCTCCTAGAAACTGCAGAACAAAACTCAGCTCCTCCTTCTCGCCTCCTTTTCCTTTTGAGAGCCCCCAGCAGACTAGTTACAAACAGACAGTGTGACACTGTGCTTTCTAGAAGGAAAGAGAGAATAATTCATCCCTAAAATAGCTGACCATGCAGTACTTATTAAATATTGATGTCATGCTGGACTCTTTCTATTCTTCTATTTTTAAAGTAGGAGAAAGAGTGGAAAGTTTAAAAGAGGAGTAGGTGAGACACTTCAGTCCTTGCTTGAAAGACAACTTAAGGCAGTTCGCAGTCTGGTAACAGGAATCCAGCATACCCTGCATGTCTGTGCAGAGAGAACTGGAGGACAGTACCTGTTACTGCCTTCATACTGTCATTTCACTCATCAATGTATAGGTAATATCCTAAATCTCTTGCAGTCTCTTAGCTGCTTCAATTCTAAAGCATGGAAGATGGTCTGAGAGTCAAATATTGCAAATCACAGGGAGGTGTCATTAAGTAAATGTCACTGTTTTGAGAGAGCTACAAAAGTAATATTTGTGCTAACATCACAACAGGGCTGATAGCTCCCCAAATGTTTCCTTCCTGGCTGCTGTTGTTTGTTTCTATTCCTTCTAGCAGAGATGCTGTGATTTGCGCAGTGGCCTGTTGCTTGGTCTCTGAGGCTGGTTGAAGAGCAATCACAGGTCCATGTCCTATGGAAAGCCAGGAACATCTCATTTAAGCATGTATGGCTGTCGCTCCATCTCTGCAAACAAAGGAAGCAGAGGCCATTGACACTGCTTAATTTGCACCTGGTACCTCAAGCTGCCAGTTGTTTATTTTACTGGTTGCAACAGAGAGTCTCTACTTTGTTGCCCATGGGTGTTTATTATGTACTAATTCAGTTCTGAAGCAGAGAGTAGATTGATCACCCTGGAGGTGCTCAAGGCCAGGTTGGATGGGGCCCTGGGCAGCCTGGTTTAGTATTAAATGTAGGAGGTTGGTGGCCCTGCATGTGGCAGGGGGCTTGGAGATTCGTAATCCTTGAGGTCCCATTCAATCCAATTCTGTGATCACTGCCTGCATGTTATATGCCTTCCAATTTACTGCTTTTAATGAAGTCCTAAATAAATAATTTTGTTTTGCATAGGTTTACAAGGCAGCTTGCTGCGCTGTTGGCTGTCCAAGGTTTTCTTTGAAATACTAAGATGCATGAGCAGGAAGCAGATTGTAAATCTAGTCCTGTCTTCATCCTACTATCGTTGTTTTCAGACCTGGCAGTTTTCAAAGTAGGCAATATGGTGAAAGCAAGGGTGAAGAGGTGGAAGTGCCCTTCAGGATGTGGAGAGAAGGGAAGGACTGCTGGGATGGGGAAGTTCCCAGCTGGAAATCTAAAATGCTGATGTGCATTGCTTCAGGAATTTGTCAACATTATATCCCTCTGGATTCAAAGTCAGATGTCTCTTGTCGGAACTCACAGTTGCAGCTTCCTACTGATAACTGTTCATGTGAGGAAGAGTTCTCCCAGGCACTTTGCAGAGACACTGCAAAGCTCACCTTCCCTGTGAGAGCTGGTACTGAGCTCCAGACTCCTTCCATCTCCTGTCCTCTGCAGGGAGGGAACAAAGCCGCTGTGGGCAGTGGTATGTAGCTACTGCACTTTGACAAAGGCTGCCAATGTTGCAAAATGCCCCTAACCAAGGCTGCAGGTGGCAACTACAGCTGCCTTGGTTGTCTGTTTGAGAGCTCAGTTACTCCCACCTTCAAGAGCTGTATTTGGCATTTCAGAATTTTATCTCAGAACTGGCTGCTGAACCTACATCAGTTTCAGTAAAAAAAAAAAAAAAAAATTTTCTCGTTTCAGACATAAAATGCTTTTTGAGTTGTTTGGTTTTTATTGAATTAAGCACTGTTTCTGTTGCAGTTATGCTAGGCTTGATCTAGGGCAAATTAAGTTTCATGTGCAGGGTGAAGAGGATTAATTGTAAGAACAGCCACATCAGCACAGATGGATGCATCCACTTGTTTCTCTCAGGAAGAAAACCCTTAGAATGAATGGGGAATAAACCAGCCCGTATGCCCGGTCTGTGGTGAGGATTGAGGTTCTCATGCTTACCCCAGAAAGTCTTTTTATGTAAAGTCATGAGCCTCAGACAGAAGGAAATGACAAGTTCCTTGTCTTTGCTGGCATGAGGATGTTAACATAATACGTGTTCTCTCTCTTACACTAAAGTCTGATCGCCTGATACAAAAGTCCACAACTGTGCCCATTAGATTGGGTTAGAATATTAGCCTAATGAGCACCAAGCATTGTTCTGTTTCCTTCCTGCCCTCTGGTGAAGGTGTTTGGATTTTTGCTGTTGTTAAAGCACTGTTTTGAGTGTAATTTCTTGATTTCTTCAAGAAACTTTAAATCTTAAAATTATTTTTCATCTTGTTTGTAGAAATATTCATTTCTTAAGTTTGCAGATAACACACGATTTCAAAGAGAATGTGTTTATCTCTCTTAAATGATCTCTTCTGTCTTGGTGCTTACTGGGATTTATAGTTCTCGAATTCCTCTTAGAACAAGGACAGGAAAAAACAAATCTCTTTAAAGTGGAACGTGATTTGCCTTACTTTAGACTGGCTTTCACTTTTTAAAAAAATGTTTTTGAAGCTGTACAGCAGATGAGATTTCTATTTTTGGTCTTTTGCATGTTTATTTCTCCCACATCTGAAGAAAATATAAAGTTGAATACTTTGAATCCTAGAGCATAGCCTGACTGACATCTGCTGCTGCTGATGAAGTATCTGCTGATAGGGAGATAACGTCACTTCCATTGCTGTGTGGCAGTAATTCCAATATATTTTTCAAGACCATCCTCTTCATCTGAATTCACTTTCTGACTGATGCTCAGCATCTATGCATAGAGAAACCACAGGTCCATGGTGTAGAGTGCAGGAGAGTGCAGAAAATCCCTCCTTGATTCTGTCATAAACAAAAACTTGTAATATGTGATGTTTTTGCTTTGCAGCTTTCTTCGTTTCTTCATTGTGACCTGAGAGTGCCAGAGCCGAGGTACAAGGGACTTGGTTCCAGTACAGACTTTCCACTGGTGAGCTGGTGAGAGTAAGTCTTCTGCTGCATCTTGTATTAATGAATTAAATAAGTGGTAATATGTCTGAGAATCTACTGGGGGTGGAGAAAGAGCTCCTTCTGTGCATTTCTTGTTCCATATCTCAGATGATGTAGCCTCAAACTTCTTCCAGCATAGACAGGAGATACCATAAGTACTGGATAGAAATATGAATATTTATCATGATGTTTGTTAGTAAGGATGTCCCACATCCTCTAGTACAAGAGAAGTAATCAGTTTCTTTTCTCTTGCATATTGTAGCTTTTTTTAGCTCCTTGTGCAAAAAAGCACTATAACTTTGCCTTCTCATGTGAGAAAGGGTTTTATGCATCAGAGGTGTCTTATGGTAGTACCATTCCTCTGTGGTGCCAGTGTATCTGCTGATGTGGACACTCTTGGTCGATCTCGATGTTCTTTTTATAGCAGAGGTATGGTTTCCTGTGGTGTGTTTTGAATGCTTGCAATCTTTAGTAAGATTCTGAGTGCTTGCAGTTGGGCTAAGATGGAATCTGATTCAAAGATGGAATCTGAAAGCCCTGGTTTACGAGTTCCTGATTATGTGCTGTAGTTTCCCAATTAAGGTTACTCTAAATAGAATAGTGACATTTACTAACCAAAGACTTGAACGTGACACGTTGAGTAGCAGAACAGGACGAAGAGCTGGAGGGTACAAACAGGAAACCTGGCTTTGTCAGATGCGGTGTTTGTAGCCGAAGTCATAGTCACTTTTGTCCAATCCAAAAATTCAAGAACCTATGCCCATCATATGTGGGAATTATACTTGCTGTTGAATCAGGTAGCAAATGGCTTTCCAGATGAGCATGAAGAGGTGCTTGATGAGCATGAAGCAGCTAAGCATGAAGCTGAATCCAGCCCTTACAGTTCTATGATTCTGTGAGAGGTTGTAAGTAGCAATTTCCTGCTGGGGCACAGTGGTTGTGTATGACCCCTTTTTCCAGGCAGAGTTTTTCCAGAGGAAAAGCCTGGCCTAGGACTGGAAAAACCCAGGCATATGATTTTAATAATTTGGAGAGCAGTGTTTTGTTTAACTAGTTCATGCTTGATGTAACTGGTTGAGTTTTGAGTTAATTTGATTATTTTTTTGAACTACTGGGAAACTATTAAAGGAGTAATGGCTAATTTGATCAATAAGTATTCTGGGAATTGCTCCTTAAAATGAATGCTTTTAGACTAAGGGAGGAAATAAGAGCTGTGCAGCAGAGTACCTACTTGTGATTTTATCTGACAATGTTACTGTGGTCAAATTCTGGTGAGGAGGTGCTTGAATTTGGAATGATTGACCTCTTTACCATTTCACATCAAGCTTTTTGTGTCACCTTGGAGCAGATGCGTGGTTTTGCAGTTGAAAGGAGCTCTTAAGTGTGTGTACTTCCCCAGATTGCAAACTTTTGATTTTTGCTGAAAGTGCAGTGCTTAGACATTGCAGAATCTAGTAGCCCATAGATACTACCAGAGCCTTGATGAAACTGCAGTGCAATGACCGCAGGAGCAGGACTGAGTGTGTGGCCCCAACGGGGGCAGAGCCACCATAGACACTCATCTTGCTACATAGATCAACACAGTCAGGAACACCCAGTTCCTGGTGTAATTTGTGTAAATGCAAACAGCCTGTGCCTTCCCTCAGTCCTGTCTCTAGCTGACCAGGAGGAAAGTTTTTAGTGGGAATGCATACGTCCCTGGGGCCAGGGCTGGCCATGACCATTCCCAGGAATGTGGCCAGATCTCTGGCTGGAGAACTGTGCAGCTGTGCATGCTGTTAGTATTTACATATGCATCAAGTGTGCTATTTGTGGTATTTGCAGGGTTCAATTGAGTTTCAAAGAAGAAATTAGAGGCAAAGGGTGTAGGGGAAGGTCAAAAGCATTTGCTCCTTTGCAGGAAGGTGAAGCTCATGTATTTAATTCATCCAGAAGGCTGTATCGGAGTTCTGCTCTGTACTAACCCGAATGAGCAGCTAAGTCCAAACCTTGCTGCTTGCCTGCTTCACAGAATCACGGAATCACAGAATTGTAGGGGTTGGAAGGGACCTCCAGAGATCGAGTCCAACCCCCCTGCCAAAGCGGGTTCCCTACACCAGGCTTTTTCCCATCAAAGTGGGGAGAGAAGTGGAAAGGCAAAAGCAGGAAAACTGGTGGTCCATACATGAAGCAAAACTGTGTGTGCATGTTTCCTGTTTGTACAGAGTGACTCCATTAACTCTGCAAAGTGGTCTGGTGAGCTGCTCTTCTTGGCTCATCTACATGTCACATCCAGCCCATGGGGTTCTGGAACAGCCCTTGTAAGGGCTGGGTGGGGCCTTGTAAGGCCTCTGATGGGGTTATTGCCATCACTTGCCACTGTACATCTGTTCTCCTTTCTGCACAAAGATGAACTTGCTATTGTGTAACCTAATGTGTACTAATGCTTATCTGCTTCACATGAGTGTTTCTCCCAGGCATTTTATCTTCTGACACAAAACCATAAAACCACAACATCTTGTCCTTGCTACATGCATGGAATATTTGTGATTAATGTGGCCTTGTAGTTACTTGAAATGTTAAACATATGCTCTGCTTTCTACAGCATATGCTTTAAGATTTGAAGTCCATGCCAAGAACAAACTCCAGGTGGACACAGCAATAGCTCAAGTTGTGCTTCAGATACATCAGCATCTGCTTGTGTGACCCAGTGGCATTTCTGCTGCTACTAAAGGAGTTCAGCTTGCACAGCTGTATTTCTGCTGAAGAGTTAATATCTGTGAGATGCGGGCCTCTTTCCTAGGGGCTAAACTAGTCTCTTGTTTCAGAGACTCAGAAGAAAATCAGTGGTTGCTCCCACCTCAGATTGCATGACCTCTCATTTAGTTAAGCAGTTTCTTATTAAAAGCCTCATTTACAGAATCATAGAATCATAGGGGTTGGAAGGACCTCCAAAGATCTTCGAGACCAACCTCCCTGCCAAAGCAGGCTCCCTACACCAGGTTGCACAAGTAGGCGGTCCAGGCGGGTCTTGAACATCTCCAGAGAAGGCGAATTTAAAATTATTGAATACAAAGATATAAGGTTGGTGGAATCTAACCTTCACTTCCAAATGTGGTCCAAAATACATATATTCTGTCATATTTCATAGGGAGGCCAGGAGCTCAGTTTCTTGTCCCATTTCAGTCGACTTCATTTTGGCCTGCTTCTGCACTTGCAGCAGAGGAGCTGAGATCTGACCACCTTACCTGTTGCACTTGTTGCTTGGCAGATGGGGTGCAAGCCCTTTCCTGTGGTTTTGCAGAGGATCTGGAAAAGCTGCTGCTGTTTCTTCACTTGAGACTGCAAAAATAGCTACTTGTTTGTGGAAAGCTTTATTTACAAAATAAAGTTTTGTAAATAATGAAGTAGAAAATGTTTTCTGGTGTCATAATAGCAGCACTGTACAGCGGCGTGTAAGGGGAGCTCTGGGGAAGGTCTTGGTTTGCAGCACGTAGGTGGGATGGACTTGCATTGGCACTGTCATCATGCTTCATTACCACCTTTTCCAACTGGTACTGGCAGCAGAAGATGTAACAGTGGTTAGTGCAGGAAATGGCTCAGCCATTTTTAGAAACGTGAGTATGTCGTACTTCCACAAAGAAATAAATTTCTTTCTACCATTATCAACTGACCTTGCAAACCATGGATACAGCACTCATCTTTCTAAGGGCATCATGGAGAGACTGGACCAAATCTTAGCTGGTTGGTTGGTTTGAGCAGCTGGGTTTTCACCCACCCATCTCTCTTTTTAAACATTGTAAAATGGTTCCCTGAGGTTAACTATACTTTTTAAAAGTATATTTAAAAAAAAAAAAAAGTTAAAGAAACAACCAAATAATAGCATACTTTTTTGTTATCACTTGTAAGAGATGGTGGGACTAAACAAGTACTTTGGCAAAAAATCCTGTATCATTTTCAGTGCAATTACTACTTGGTAAACTTTTTCAGAAGTTTTTTACAAAGCTCTAAGATTTTGTTGTAGAGCGTAGTTGTAGTCTATCGGTATAATTTCTGTAGCTTCATGGTAGGAAGATGTGTTTAAAAGAAAAAAAAAAAAGAAAGAGTTGTATGGGAAATAGAATGGTGTGGGTTGAAAAGGACCACAGTGATCATCCAATTTCAATCCCCTGCTGTGCACAGGGTTGCCAACCACCAGACCAGGCTGCCCAGAGCCACATCCAGCCTGGCCTTGAATGCCTGCAGGGATGGGGCATCCACAGCCTCCTTGGGCAACCTGTTCCTGCGCGTCACCATTCTTTGTGTGGAAAAACTTCCTCCTAATATCTAACCTAAACCTCCCCGTCTTAGTTTAAAACCATTCCCCCTTGTCCTATCATTATTCACCCATGTAAACAGTATTTCCCCCTCCTGTTTATATGCTCCCTTCAAGTACTGGAAGGCCACAATGAGGTCTCCCATCTCCCTGGAGCCTTCTCTTCTCCAAGCTAAGCAAGTCCAGTTCCCTCAACTTTTCTTTAGATGTACAGCTGTTAAGTCAGTAGAAGTGTATGAAAGCACACTGTCTGATGACTCTACTACAGAACCAGACAAAATGGTAAACAAAGAAGTTTTATTATTATGTGATGCTCTATTTTGTGATGCTGCAGGGCTGTTGTCCATATGAGTTCCTTGTGACTTTTAATTTCTTTCATATCTCTGGGGGGGGGGAACAAAACAACACCACAAAAGCCTAACCAAACAAAACCATCAGCACTTTTTTCCCCCAAATGAAAAAGCAGGGCTGAATCGTTTTCATTTCCAAAATGCAATCCATTTGCTCATTCCTACATATAAGCTGTATTCCTTCATTTAAAAAAAAAAAAAGGTACTGCTAATAATGTTAGAGTGGTGTCTATTGTCTAGGTCATGGCATATTGAGATTTCAGATGCTGCTTTGTTCGCTACACCTTGACAAAAAGCTTTTAAAATTAAAAATAATTCTGAATTATACTTCAGAAACAGTTTGGCTGCTTTCAGTTTCAGAGAAATAAAGTTGTGTGGAAGGTAGATCAAGTAATCTGTTTACAAAGTTTCTTCCAAATCCTTTCAGGTGAAAAGGTGAAAGTCATGGTATGGCCTGAAAGTTGATGCTCAGAACTTCAGTTACCTTGTTTTCACTTAGTATTTGTTCTCTGGATGTGCTTGTTATTCAGTAATCATGCAGTTTTATAATCCTGCCGGATTCTTGTCTTCAGGTTGTGGTTTAGATTCTCATTCACCTCTTGGGGAATTCCACAACTTGGGAACATTGGTTTCACAAAAATAAAATTAAATAATTTTAAAAATCACCCCATGGGATTAAAACTCTGGAAGGTATCTGTCATTTGAGTACTTAGCCCCATCATATTATCCAGTTCAGAACTTTTTAGATGAAGATCCACGGGGTTACTGTAAGGTAATTTTACACCCTTTTGGAGGCTGTTCTTGGACTGTATCTCTCTGATGTTAGGTATATTCTACTTTCCAACCTAAATTTAGTAATGAGTGCTTTCCATGCTCTTTCTTCTTGTGCCAGCATTAAAGTTCTTGTTGCTTCTCTCAACCTTTGTTTTTCTGTAAGCCAAGCTCTTAATATCCTTGTACAAGATAGAAATCTGTTACCTTGATTATTTTCCAATTTCCTTTGTTTTCCATTAATCCCTCTGGTGTGTGAGGGTCCAGATGCTGCTGCGCTGCTTTGGATGAAGTCTGGGCATTACCTAGCACAATGGTGCCAGTGTTTTCCTAGCTGTAACCAGAGAACTAATTTGCCTTCCTCATGGATGCGTCCCACTGGAGGCTAAGCAGAGGTCAGTGCCCTGCTGATGTACCTGGGTCTCTTTCTTCCATCGTTTCCAAACACTTGCATTGTAGCTCAGCACTGACAGCAGAATTTCTTAGTGATCCCCTGAATGACTGACATTGTGCTCTGTGTTATTTCACTTAATTACTTTCCTATTAGGCTTCAGCTTTCAGTTTTCCTTTTGGGGACTGCATCTTTTTCCTTGCAGAAGAGCTTCCACGTGTTATGTCAAGCAGATTTCAGTAATGCCTTTCATGACAAGGTCATTAATGACAACATTAATTGTAATTTTTTTCATCATCCAGTAATTTCTACTCTTTTGTATAATTTGTATTTCCCTTTTTCACCAGATTGTAGCAAAAGGTGATTAGAAGTTCCCCATTTGCTTGCACTGAGCCATTTGTTTGGACCTTTCTTTGTGTTCCCTCTTGTTTACTGTTAAGGCAAACGTTTTTTGCTTCCCTCTGTGCATCAAAGTTCTTCACAATGCCTTTGATAACTGTCCATTCCCTAAGATCTTTGAAAAATACCGTGAGAGAACTTGCCTTGCCTTGTCTGGACTGTTGAAGTTTGTGTGTCTGAGATCAAAATCACGTGTGAAGAAGGCCTGTGCTAATATCTTCTTATAGTCCTCCACTGCCACAGGTAAAAGAGGGGAACAGTTGATGCTGTGGTTCTTTTGCATTGCTTACTGGGGATATAATGCACTGATTTAAATAAAAATAGGAATTGGAACTCTGGTGACAGGAAGAATCAATAATGAGATTTGAACATAGTTTTTGCATTAGTGTTTCACTTTGAAGGTAGGAAGAGTAAAGGCTTCTTGGGATAGTGCCAGAAGAAGTCAGAAGGTAGCTGTGTGAGTTGTGGTAGACCAGATGCTCTGGGGTTACCATTTAAAGAAACCCTGATGCTGGCTATGCGCTCCTATTGCACTGCAGCTCTCCTATCCTTGCACTCCAGAAAGCAGCTGAGCTCAGTTTCACCTTGTGCTCAGCTTGTCTTTGGAAGACCTTCCAGTGATCCTGTTTTGTTTTTTTTTGTTTTCCCATTTGAACAGTTAATGAACTTTTTTAGATTAGCATATTCATCAGCTTGGAGAAAGTGTAATGCATCTCATTAGTTAATTGAGAGCTGGCAAGCCTAGGAATGAAGACATTTTCAGGGGTTTCCAATCCTGTTTTGTCTCCACTTCTAAGTTTTGCATCCATTCTTAGAAGGACAGCAGCAATACTGTGTTTATTCCTACAGCATGCAGGAAAGATGGTGGGGAGCGATGAAATGCTGTAACAGAAACCCTGGTTGTGCTTGAAAATTTCTCACAGAAAACAAAAGCATACAGGCATCTGCAGCTTCAGAAGAAGTGAACATCTCTGATCTTGGTGTGAATGAGATTCCAAAATGGCCATTACAACCCTGAATATTGCCCACTTGTTTCAGCCTTTGCTGGCAGAGCTGTGCTGACTGATGCTAACTGCTGCTCTGCGTGAACGCATACTCTGCCAGCAGGGCCTGGCATGGGCTGTACAGCTTGCTGGGATCTCCAAGTTTGCAGTGTACATGCACGAATGTACAAACATAACTGTACAAACACTGTATGTGTGCATGCAAACATGCCTTCATTAATCTCAAAATGAGCCGTTAGATGCATAGTGTGAAAATGTTGGGATTTATTCTTCTTTCAGTGCCTGAGCTCTTCGCTGTAGCTGACCTATCTGTGCAGGGCGTGTGTGGGTTTTGAAACAATGAAAGGCATTCTCCTCCCCGTTCCCAGCATAATTGTTTCCTGATATTCAAAGCCATACTTTTAAAGGCAAGATTGTGCTTTTGTCAGAATATCACCCCAAGAGTATGGGAATGTGATTTCTTGAGTAGCCATCCCTGGAGAAACTTCACACAGTGCTTCTTTCCTGCTGCGCAGCTGCTCATTACAGCTGCTGGATGATGGAGGGAGTCTCACTTGGGTGACTTCTGTCATTTCCAGTCTTTCGTCTTTTTTATCCTTTTTCTTAGTCTTGTGACAGTAGGTCTGCTGGCAGTCTGTTGTATGAGCTTTGGGTAGCCAGTATGCATGTAATGTAGACCTGTATTTGAGTGCACACATTACGTTGCCTGTGGGGGTCCAGGAAAGGCCAAGGAATCAGTCAACAACCACTGCAAACCCTCATAATTAGCAGCGTATGCAGGCAAATATATACAAGTGAAAACTGATAAAGGTTTAACATACGTTAGAAGTGTGGATGTTAGATTGTTTATCCTACAGACTGTACTGAAGCAAACTTGACCTATCCATTCAGTATTTGAACATAACTCATAATATACTTTAAAAAAAAAAAAAAAAAAAGAGAACACTTTTTTTGTTGTTCCCCACTGGTGTTGGAAGAGCCAGAGTAAAGAGAACTCGTATACAGCAGTAATAAGAGCTGCAACAAACTCAGTAATAAATAAATAAATAAATAAATATGGTGGCTTAAGGTGGCAGCCTGAGATGAAAGTTGGGGCAGCCTGCTTTGTGATGTGTGCCCTTGGCTGCACAGGATGAATGGCTGGAAGTTTTCTCTCTCAGCTCTTAGGAAGACTTTAGCATTGAGTAGGTAGTAGATAGATAGTTGTAAAATTCATTTAACTGCAAAGTTGTAAAAGTCATAAGGCATGAAAAAGAAGCTATGGGGTTTCTTCTCTTCAGACTAAAATATTTTATGCTTCGTATTTTATTGGCTTAGAAGCATTTTAATTGAGGTTTAGGGTTTGCACTATGTTACTCTGGGCTGACCCCAACACATGCCATGCATTTTTTGGTCACTTGGGGATTTTGTTACTGTGGGAAAACTGATGCACTAGTGTTGGACTACATTGCTGTAAAGACAAGAATGGTTTTCAGAAACAGATTCAAAGCAACTGACGTTGTGTGGCATGAATAAGTTTTGCTTCCGTAGTAAATTTAGAATGTTGACAAACTTGTTGCTTACTGATTGCTGCATGATAATTAAAATGACAGTGTTGTTAAATTTCACCTGCTGTCTGGCTGTGTTTATAGCTAAAAGCAAATTCTGTCTTGCAGTGTTTTGTTCGGATGGCACTGTGGGCCGTATTAAGTTGCTGTATGACCTGAGACTTCTCCGTGCCTTCAAATTTATATAAGCTTATTAATGGAGGCCACGCACTAATAATAAATTTATGCTGTATGTATAGCACAACAGTTCATCTACTCTGACAGCATGGCCATGAATAATTTATGAATGTAGTTAGCCTGAAATTTGTGAGGGTCATTAGCATTTTAATGAAAAAGATACAGCTGTTGTACTAAATCTGTGCTTTCCTCCTCCCCCAGCTGAGCGTTTCGATCTGTGCTGGGAGCAGCTGACAGCGCGGGGATGTGCTGACGGCATTATGGGCAGGCGCTACCCAGGGGCTCACTATCGGCCAAGCAACTCGTGTATGTATGCAATTGCTCTCATTTATTGGTCACTTGATTGCTTTTGAAGGCTACGTTCATAAATTTTGAAGAAGTATTTATCAAAGGATGCTGACATATTGTAATCGATGCCAGCTCTCCTCTGTGTATACCCAAATGGTAAGTATACTGATTAATGTTCAAATTGCAGAGGTGTCTTTGAGAACTTTAAAAAACTAACCAGCTTGACTTGACTGAGCCTGTTGCATTGTGCTGTGTTTTGTGATCAAGGTCTCTAATTTCATTTATGGTAGCATTCAGAAACTTAGCTGCTGTTTCTTCTTGCTCCCAACCCAAGTGTTCAGTACCAGATACCTTCAGATGGGCAAACAGCTTGAGCCATCACTGTGCACAATTGCTTTAACTGCTTACAACTTCGACTAACAGCTCCCGTTCAGATTATTTATGTACGTGAGGTCAATCTTATTCACACTGAATTTCCTCTGGATTATGTTTACGCTGGGTATTAATGTTCAGATACTGTAAACGCTAACACTGGGAGAATAAATGGCTGTTACAGTTTTGAGACATCTCTGGTGGTCACCTGCAGATCTGTTACTGATCTGATAACATCTGCTTGATGTTATCTCTAGGTGCTAGTCTTTTAAGCCTGGCCTTCCAAGCATCCTGCAAGGCATGAAATCTACATCTCAGCCTAAGCTGAAGTTCAGCTTTGAAATGGTCCTTTGTAGCAACAGGTAGTAGGGTCTTTCCTATTTCTACCTTCAATAAATGGCATTTAATTATTGCCAGAAGAGCCTACAATATGTTTCTTGTTGTCTATTTTACCACTTGCAGGCAGTGAAGAACTGGCAAAGTTCAGAAATTTGCATCAGGAACGACTGATGTCAGAACTCCTTGTTTGAGGGCAAGGATACAATAATATCTACTTCATTATAGCTTTATTCTTTTGTTTATCCAGGTTTTCCCTTCTCTTAACCTGTCACGGTTATTAAGTCTCACTTGTTTTCTTTTTTTGTTTTGCTGCTATACAAGTTGTGCAACTTCCTGGTGCCTAGCATAGTAAATGCTTTGGGCATCCAGCAGTAAGAGCGTTGAAACTGACCAGTCTTTGGAGAATTAGATTTATGGTAGCAGGTTAGATCCTGGTGAAAGTACTAGTAAAATGTATCATTTTGCTTTTGCTTTCTTTGCATAAATAATGAGTAATGGCAGCATCTCAGTTATTGTATTTCAGGAATCACAGTTGTTTCCATTATAGGAAGAACATTACTCTCGCTTTCTGATGTTTATTAAGTAGTGTTAAGGAATTGGGGCAGTTTTAAACCTTAATAAATGACTTTCTATTTTGTCTATACATATGTGCATAGGCATACCGCTACCATTCTGTAAATAAATAGGGAAGAATTAGGCCCATGTGGAGTAGGGCACTCTTGACCATTTATGACATTGACTGTTTTGTTAAATGATTTCATAACTGTAATGAATATAGAGCATTGCGTACTCTTAGAAGAGTAACAGAAGGTTTTATATGCAAAGAAATATAACAATTTAAATAGAAAACAGCTTATTTGAAGCCTAGTGCTAGAAAACATAGTTGAAATGCAGATGCTGAAGGTACAGAAGAAGCAAAATGTTTAAAATGTAGAACTGAAAGTAGTGAATTTAACAGGTACCTGCTAATTTTGGGTTTTTACATGTCTAGTTAAAGAGCAATGATGTTCCTGATTACTGGCCATGAAGAAAACAGTCTTGGGTGTATCCCTGGCTGTCCTTAACACTGCTTGTCTTGACTTCATGCTCAACAGGGAGCCTCCCTCCTTGCTGTTCTGTTCTTGTTTTTCTTATGAAAATTATGGACGTAAGACTGGAAAGTCTCCAGCATGGAGAAGCCTGGCTTTGTAAAAAAAAAAAAAGAACAAAAATGTTGAAGTTCCCCTTCACAAATTTTCCTGAGCTTCGTTCATATTTTTCTCTCTTCTAATATTTACTCATAAAACGACTTTTCTGCATCGGTTGCAGTAACTCTCCTGAAAAGACAGGAATTGTGTTATGTGGCTTCAAATTTACTTTCATACTATGGCTAAAATCTTGGTTCTGTGCACTCTGTTAAAGTCGTCTGTATAACTGGAAGAACTTTCTAATGGGATGTCTGCATGTTCTGCCCCCAGCACAATAACTTAGCTTTACTTGCTTGTAGTATTTTATATGATACTGGAATCGAAGCAAAGAATTTTGTTGGAATTGGTTGAAGTTCCACTTTGCTGTCCTGCATGCCCTCAAAGGCATGGCCACAGTATAAAACATAATTAAATGCACAGCAGTTACATTTTCTTAGAGTGATATGAAAATGCAAATTAAAAAAAAAAAAGCCCTCCTTTTTTGTTTTCTCAGAGGACAAGTGAGGAAAGGCAGGAATTTCTGGGCGGTGGTTTTGGTAGTCATTGACCTCTGGAACGTGCTGGGTGGAGGCACAGTCCCATAGTGGCAAGGACCTGCTCACTTCTGCAGCTCTGTCTTCAGCTTTTGCTTCTGCAGAAGAGAGCACCATGTCTGCCTTGCACAAGTCACCATGGAGGGCAGAGGTGGAATTTCTTTCCAACTTATTAGGCATATTTTATTTAAAAACTGCTCAGACTAGTGTCCATGTAAAATGATTTATTGATAACATTCTGCCAATACAATTAGTGGAGTTGAAAGAGGTTGTATTTCAGAAACTTCTGATGGAAAACCTTTTGGGGGAAATAACTTTTTATGAAATATTCATAAATCAAGGATGAGAATGAAAGGAAGCATCCCCTGTGGGATGGCACTCCCTGGACTGTGCAGGAGAGACGTTTGGGTATTGGTTCTCCTTGACTGTCTCCCATGCTAGAGCTGTTACAAACAATTCAAAATACTTCAGGGCAGAGAGAGCAGGACTGATTTCATAAACCTCGGATTTGGTTTTCCTCCAGGAATACTCAAAATCCTGTTCTATTTCTCTTCAACTTTGCCAGGGAGCGCCCAGCTGCAGCCTGCTTTGCACTGAGGTGATCTCCCACTGCTAGTCTTCCAAAGGAATATTGGTGAATGAAAATACTGAAAAGCTTTAGCTTTGTTGCAGTAAAGTAAGGAAACAGATGCTGTGATGACAACATAAATAGCAATAAAACTCTGGATAAAACCTCAAGCTTACAGTCTTACAACCAGTATCAGCAATTACATCGCTATAGTGATGTACACAAGCTGGGGTGAGAGCTTCCCTGGAGTGGCTTTGCACATTTGGTGTGGAACCCCTACTGAAACAATAGAAAACCACCCAAGGAAGGTAGCCTGACTGTAGAAGTGTACAGTTCCTGGTAGAGGTGTCCTGCTACCACTGTCAGCAAAGACCTGCCGTGTATGTCTTGGTATTTCCAGGCCTTGGTCTAAAAAGCCCTTGAGTGAGTGTCACCTGAGCTCATGCTCAGGAAGGGCAGTTTTCATAAGTTGTTGAAAAGCTGCAAAGAATCATGAGATGTGGAAAAGCCAGAAATACAGACAATTAAAGGTGTAAAATTTACAAAAGCACTCAATGGCATATACATTGCTCTCCCAGTTAATGCCTCTCTCATTTGACTTTCTACCATTCGTAAGAATGTCTGGAGACTTGCATGACAATTTCTTTGCCTCTTGAGAAGTCCTGACAAAACCTGAAGATGTTCTGGATCCCACAGATAGGAAGTTAGGTCTGCAGCGCTGACCTCCTTTGACTTGGAGTCTACAGAGAGAGAGAGAGGTTCTTTTATGAACCACATGGTGCCCTGGATGCATAGTGTCACTTCTGGTTTTTTTGTTTCTTAGCGTGGTTTTAAATACTGTACTAAGTCACTGCAGTACACCTCTGGCAGTTCCATTTCTTTTTGACAACAGAACTGTTCTAAAGCTGAAGGTTTTCTGTAGGACCACACATTATGGAGTTGTATGCTGTGTGCTTGTCTTGTCACAAGAACTTCAGTTCCCTTAGTGTAAAAGCACCCTGTGACGCTCAATGAGTGTGTGGGTAGTGACAGCACAAAAGAAAGGAGTATTCTGGTTAGGACATTAATACCTTAAGACTCATTGAAATCCATTGAAATGCTACTAGCTTGTTCTTTTTCCACTCATTTGAAGGCTTTTACAGCTAAGTTTGTTGAAACTGAGCACACTTTTAGCCATGCTTTAGAGGAATATAAATGTCAGTCAGAGCCGTTGCTTTTTTATGTTCTCCTTCCACTTTATTATGGATTGATCCATTTAGTTTATGGGGATCATAAAGCAAGTACACTTTGATTTTATTTATGAGCACGTGTTTTGTTTTATATATGAGCTCTGTGGGTAGAAGTTTCTCATTGCAGTACAACAACATTCTCAAGGAACTCTGCTTGCTTCAATAGCCTGAGATTAAAGTTATTCCTATATTCTAGTGCCATAATAACATTTAGGAGAGTTACTACAGGGTATGGACCCCTAAACAATCTCTCAGATGTCCGACAGCTTTAGAAGAACTGCAGCAATTGGTTCATAAACTGTTTTCCTATTTGTCCCATTAAGGTTTTGTTGAAGACGATGCGTAGCCTTATTGGCAAATGTTGAGCCTGGCTGAAATTGTTCTTTGTATGATAAACTTTACTGTAGCTTGGCTTTTAATGGAAGAACAAATTATGAACTAGAAATGTGGGTATGTTTTCAGGTTTGGTGAAACCTCTGCTCTGAAATGCATTCCATTACTAAGAGCAAGGGAAATGTGGCAAGGACGTATGAGCCCAACTTGAAGATGGTTTCAGCAAATGTGTTTAACAATGATGCAAAAATATATGATGCAATAGCCTTGCTTAGGTGAGATACAGAATGTTTTTAATACATGGAGCAGAATTCCATAAATCTGTAATTCTTTCTTCCTGATAGTCATATCATCTTATTTTATGGAGCCTGGCGATCAGTGCTCTTTTCTGTTAGTAAGACTTGGACTTTAATTTTGCTCACTTGTCTCAACTTACTGTTAGTGATTTGAAGTTATT